GTTCTGATATTTAATATCTCTACTTTCTACTTTATGTAATGAGAATATTTTCTTTCTTTTAATCTAATTATATAGCTATAGTCTGTATATAAAAATAAGATATTAACTTATTCTTTTAAAAAGATGTCTGTAAAGTTAAAGTAAGGCTTTAAAAAAATCTTTATTTAATCCATTCTTTACAATATTTATTATATATATTTAGATTATATATTTAGATTTTATAATTTATATAATTTATATGAAATATATAAAAATATTTTTTTATAAGATTTAATCTATTTTTTCTTTATTAATAATATTTAAATTTATTTATACAATCTTTTATTATTAGATATTTACTTTTTTAATTAATATTGGAATTTCGACTTTATAATTATAATAAAACTAAAATAGTATAATAATCTTATATATTTATTATATTAAATTAGTAATAGCCCTGTTGAATCTTTTTTATAATTAATGATATTAATTACAAAATTATATTATTTATAAAATAAAATCTTATATTCATATAAAGTCTGAATTCTTCATGGTATCTTATTTAACTTTCTATATATTATTTTATTTAAAATTAATTTATCAAGTTAATCTGTATTTGACAGTTCATTAATATATAAACTAATATTACTTCTATCTATATTAATATTAAAATAATAATATTAATAAAATTAAAATCTTTATAATATAAGAGCTCTAGTATTATCATTATATGTAAAGTTAAAATTTAATTTTGTTCTTATTTTTTTACTCTATTTTTTATATTTCTGTATCTTTATCTTTTAAATTTTAGATAATTTATAGTAAAGTAACTATACTTTTTATATTTAAAGTACTTTACTCTGTTTATATTATTAGAGGGTTTATACTTTTTATTACTATTATTTTGTTATTTCACTTTGAATAGTCTTTAATTTATTTAATATTGTTTCTATAATATGAAGAAATGGGAGTTATTTTTTTATAAATATTATTTTAATATTTAGTTTTTTATAATTTATAGATATAAGATATAGTTATCATAGATCTCTAGTTTCTATAAGTATTTTACTATTTTATAGTAAATCTTTTTTAATATTTTAATTTATAAATAATTTTTTAATTAATTTTTTATATACAGTTTAGATAATTATAAATATTAACGTAAACCACAAGCGAGCCGCGAATCTAAGCGAGCCGCGAATTTTTAACCAAAATTCCACCCTCTTTATTCGATATGTCATATTTTCAACATCACATACAATATGCCTTCTTCTAAAGAATCATGCATCCAAATAACTATTTCAGCTTATTGAAAAGATTAAATTAAATCAGTATTACGCACTGCGCAGGTTTTTGTGATCTCTGAAAGTATCTTATATGATTAACTTAATAATGTAATACCATGATTAGAAATACGCGCCAATAATCATAAACTTACTCAATTCAAAGAAGAAATACTTATTAAGTGATTATTAGATACAGATATATGAGGATTTCTAATACAGTCTGAATTTCTATATAAAATGATAGGAATATTACTTCATGCGCGTCTCTGAAATTATATAGTAATTATTAAATCTAATTAGCTATATAATTTTACTAAATGTTATTCTTAACTATATATATGATATAATAGACGGATTATATATTAATATGCAAATCAAGAGAATTTAAAGATTATAATACCATGGTTTTAAACTGTTTAGAAGACTATTCAAGAATATAATATATATAAAGATGATATCTAGAATTTTGATAAAACTGGCTTTACAATGGGGCTCTGCTCAGCTACTAAAGTTATTACTATAATAGAATATAGTGAGCGACCACGCAGAGTTATTCAGGATAATTATAAATAGGTTATAATTATTGAAGCAGTTAGTTTAAAAGATGTATATATATTACCAGTTATTATACTTAAAGCAGGCAATCAACAAGCTGCCTGGTTTCAAGAACCTAAGCTTGCTAGAGACTGATGGATTGCAAAAAGTCAAAATGGCTGGACTACTGATAAAATAGGTCTTCTTTAGCTGAAAAATGTCTTTAAACCCTTCTTTAAGCGCTATATAACCGGTATAAAATGCTTACTTATTCTAGACGGCTATAGTAGTTATTTGACTACTGAATTTGATCATCTTTATAAATAAAATATAATAATATATCTTTATATGCCTGTCTATGCTTTGTATCTTCTTTAACTGCTTAATATGGGTGTTTTTAGCCCACTTAAAAAGGTGTACCGGAAGCTTCTTGAAGGGTATATAATTATAGATAATAATTATATTAATAAAAAAGACTTTTTATCATTGTATCTAGATACATGGGCTTAAGTCTTTATTTCTATAAATATCTGCAGTGGCTTTGCAGGAGCAGGGCTTAAGCTATTTAATCAAGAATATGTTCTTTTTAAGCTTACCTTTCAACTACGTACGCCTACATCTGTACCATCACTAGTTGAAGGGTCAACTTTATCTGCTTTCCAGACTCCACAAAATACTTACTAGCTAGATCAAAAAGTACGCAGCCTGCAAAGTAGTCTTAATACTAAATAAAAGCTTTCTAGCAGTCCAGTCACTTATATTCAACATCTTGAGAAAGCTGCTTAAATGGCTATACAAACAAATCTTCTTTTACAGCAAGAAATCAAGATTTTACAGGCTGAAAATGAGTAAAAATATAAAAAGAAAGTAAGAAGACGTGCTCTACTAGAAGATGATATTCTTTTATCTGTACAGAAAGGCCAAAATCGCGTTCAGCAGCTAAATACACAGCTTATTAAACAATGTAAACAATCTATTCCTGTATCTTATCAACAGGCTCCACAACGCTGCAGTGGCTGTGGAACAGTTAGACATATAATTCAGAACTGCTCTAGTAAATAGCTACTTTTTCATATATTTATTTAATCAAATTTCATGGAGTTGGTGGTTGAAATCCTTTAAGTAATGGTGGCTATAGCAAAGGATCCGCGGCTCGCTTAGATTCGCGGCTCGCTTGTGGCTTACGTTATTAGTAAATATATTATATAAATTTTATTTAATATTCTAATAATATTAATTAGTATTTCTTTATGAATTTATAAAATTCTTTAATTAATATAATTAAAAGACTTAATAATCTTTTTAAATAAGGTTTTTTCATATTGTAGAAAATATTTTTATAAGATATTATTCTTATAGTAAGAGAAGTATAGGTATAAAATAAAATATAATATTTATTATCTTTATCTTATTATTTATAAAGTAATAATTATTTATTTTAAAATAATTTCTCAATTTTATTATATAATAATAATATTTAATCATATTATTTTTATAATATTTTATATCTAGTATTATTTTTTTAAATAGTTTTATAACTGTTATAGACCCCTGCTAGCCAGGTCACTAGCGGAGCGGACTCGTTAGGCAGAAAAGTGACGACAAGGCAAGACTCGGACAACCAGCAACTCTTATCGAGTAGAATCCCGGTCTGAGTAATGTTGGAGTGGCGTTGTGTCACGTGATCATCTACCATCAGATCCACTATCGAAGGTATACGCAAGGTATATTGGGATCCAGGAATGTGATTGGATCGACCCTTGATCTACCCTGAATGGTATATGATATGGTATACGAAGGATAGGATAAAATGACACCCTTTCATGTACTTAGCTAGTTCTATTCTTCGTGCTCAATAACACTGTCTTTAAGTAACCATACGTTTTGGTAAAGCTTAGCGACAACACTCGTCCGCACTTACTTACGGATAGCTGCGCGGCACTATCTGGCCTTACTTCTCTTCTCTTGTTCAGGACCAGTCACCTTTAGATAGTCATCAGCCTGACTTACCTCGATTCAGTTCGAAGGTACGTATTGGAACGGGAGCTAAGCTAACAGGAACAGGGAGAAGCGATCCTAGGGTTTGACAATAACCTTTCATCAAGATAAAAGATTATAATATAATAAAGAAATTCTTTTCTGTTAACTAAGCAAGAAATTAAAAAATTTATTTCTAAATCTTATGATTAGTATATTTTAATTTATTTTATATCTCTTCTTAACTAGTATCTTATCTAGCTTCATTAATTATTTTTATAATTATAGTTTTTTAATCTCTACTTTTTTCTTATGTAGTTCCTGTTTTAAAATAATTATATTATTATTTTTATAAGATTCTTATCATGCTGTGTATCTAATATTTCCAAATATAAAGACTTAATAATAAGATTACTTAATAAATTAGATAATAAATTAGATAAGTCTTCTTCTAAGATTATATTTTAAATATAAGATAATATTTTTGATTTTAGACTTCTCTTCTAGAAAAGGTAATCAGAACTGTTAGAAATATGTGGAAAGATATAAAATTATATAAAATAAATTTTAAAAATCAGAGTAAAGATTATTATAAGTTTACAGAATATAAATAATATGTATATAGAAATATAAAATTAATTACTAGTCTTCTGGAGTTTCTAATAATCAGTATAATAGATATTTTATTAAATTATCTGATTGTATAGATTACTTAATTAGATAGTCTGTCTCTCTGTGAGTCCTGTGACCCTAGTGCATCAGGAAAGCACACTATCTGTTACAGGGTTATCTGAGGCGTCTAACAAACCATAAGAAAGATTAATTTATCTGTAGATAGATAGCTCTTCAGTAAATTTAATTTCTACTTATCAACACATATCTTGAGTAATTCTTGGGCTCTTAAGCCCGTCACAGCCCGCACCTCGAGAAATAGTTTTATTTACAGTTTATTTTTATAATAAAAATAATAATGTATTTATAATTAATATATTAAATTAATATATTTAATCTGCTTAGATTATACAAGACTTATAAGATTATAAATATTTTAAAATAGTTTTCTCTATTTTAAAGAAAGAGTTATATAATCTTAAATACAGGTTAATAAAATAATAAGATAAAGGATTTAAATAAGCAGATTTAATTAAGATAACTTATATTTAGATAGATAACTAGTCAAGCTATATATGGATTAATAAATAAGATATAGCTCGAAGCTACACTGAGGGTTATAAGGGTGAAAGACTTTTTAACTGTGTGTAGGGTCACGTGCCGTGCACTTAGCAAGGTCGCACTGTGACTATTCTAGTAGGGAACATGGATTGATATTGAAGAACACAAAGAGAAGAAAGCCGGAGTTTATTGTGAATAGCTAGTGAAGGCATATTCAACTGATTCATTAAACTGAAGAGATGCGGGGTTATTCATATTCAGTAAGGTCTGCCTGTAGTATTCATTTGATTATAACATCGACGAGATCATCATTAATGAGCTCGTAGTCTGCAAGGCTAGAAAGTGGATCTAAGCGGTCACCATCAAACACAAGGAACACTTCACATCCTGCAGGGATTTTCTTGGCATCGCGGAAGTCAACAACTAACTGTGATACTTGCATGTCCAAGCTAAGTGTTACCTTCAGATCACCAAAAGTAGGACACTTTAGAGTAACCTTGTCGGCGGATGAACTTCCTTCAGTCAAACCAGCAGGCTCAAAGGTAGACTCGGTGTCGGTCACAGTCGGTGAGTGGCGCAGATTATTGCTGAGACTTTCTTCTGTGGCAGCTTCCATATGAACTTGTACATTCTCGCCATCTACCTGAAAAGGATCATATTCCTTCATCCCGACAAAAATACCACGATCTGTCTGTATTCCTAGACTTCGGCATGTGGTAACGTCAAACAGCCTCTTACCCTTCCAAGTTAGGAAGACTGAAGCTTGCATTTCTTTGCTAAATTGTTGACGGTTACACCATGCAAGGCGAACATCTTTTAATGGCTGGTGCATTCTCCGGCGAACAATCAATGGTTTGGTGTTTGTAATTTTTGAAGTAATCAGAATCTGAACTATCGCTTCATTATGCGCGAGGCGGTGGTTATGAGACATAGGAGTTTCATTAAGTTCCTGGGGATTCTGGCGATGTGAGCCTTTGATGGGGGCCTTTGTCTTCTCCTTTACCCCCCCCGCAAGCTGTGAGCCCGCAGCAGGGGTCTCAATATGAATCAGCTTCATGTCTGTCGATGACTCACAACTTTGGATGTCGGCCTCTATTGTAGTTGTACCCGAGATACCAATGGATGTAGTTCGGGATTGATGACTGTTGCTGTTATTTTTTTCTTCAAAATCATCACAACAGCCGGCCTCAATATTCGGTGATTGTTCCGCACTGCGCGACACTTCCCCATTATTGATGGGCTTGGATATGCTATTGTCTGGGGAGTGTCTAGAAGGAAGACATCGACGTTTGGGGCTATCTTTTTCCGCTGAGAGTCGTCCAGCACGTGCCTTTTGGTATGCAGTGATAATGTCATTGTAGACTTGACCAGCATGACGGTAAAAATTTAAGTCTGCTTGTTCGTCCCCCCTGCTTGCCCATGAAGGCTTATTGAAAAACGATCGCATCGAGGCCAATTATGTATCATACAGGGTACCAATAAGTGCAGAGGGTATGTTAAATGAGCGGTTATTGAAGGCCAGCAGCTTCGTGTCGCCAAGAATAATTTCAGACAGAATTACTGGTACACGATTCAAGAGGTGACCAGGAAGTGATGACCTAGTAAAAGGTAGAAAGGTACGGTACGGCCCCTGCCAGACAGCACAGCACGTGTTGAATCTTCCCGGCGATCACCTAGTCCTTTTCGGGCTAAAGTTGATACCCCAATATCTCTGCTATTGCCTGGAAGGAACAGCTACCTGACACCCCCTAAGTATTCCCAGTCCGTCGGGTCACAAACTAAAGATACAAGGAGGGAAAGGGCAACAAAATGGAGAACGGTGCATCTTCTGATGGCAAGGATCCATCAACTTTCCTGGGGGAGATCATCGGCGCCCCAGTCACTGTCAAATTGAACTCTGGAGTTGTCTATAAAGGTAATGATATATATGCCCTTTGCCCTTACATCATCGCCCTATCCAGCCCGTGTTAGCGTCTTCCTCAGGATTGGGATGGGGGAAAGGCGATGAACACAACTACGGGAGAGGAAATATATCGCTAACGAGCTATTCAGGAGAACTTCAATCGGTAGACGGCTATATGAATATAGCATTGGAGAAATCCGAGGAATTTGTTAATGGACAATTGACGCGCAGTTATGGGGATGCCTTCATCCGAGGAAATAATGGTTTGTCATGTCAGACCTACCAAGATTGGCACTTCTAACGTTAGTATCATGAGATTTATAGTGCTGTATATTTCTGCTCATTGATATGCCTTCAATTTGTGACAGCTTTATCCGATAATTTGGGGTTTAACACTGACTGGGCCTTCTTGTTTCGGGTCCCAGTATGACAGGAGAGAGCAAAGTTCCCTCGAGCTCTTGCTTATACTTTATTTTACAAGCTTGATATGATATCAAGATGAGGAAGTCCGGATGACGCGCCAGATCTGGAAGAAACATGAAGTAGCCCAATCCTCTGTGGTTCGAGGCTCAGATAGTTGTCAATAAGCTTCACAAGACAGTCAGTCAGGTGAATATCTAATCAGGCAAAAACATCATTCGTTAAAACTAGCACTGGAATTAATAACAGCCATTATAATCTAATATAAGAATAACTTCACGCAGGCCAAACATCTTTGATGGAAATATGCCCCAGCTGTGGGTTCCTTTGTGATTGAATTCTATACGGAGAAGCAGTGTGCCTACCATTCTATAGATAATACATACATCTGCCAGTTCCTTGCCCCACATAACCGTTAAAACTGTGATCCTAGTCCCAGGTATCATTAAAGACCACAAAGCTAAGCCCTGGGTCATATTTCTCAACTTTCGCATTGTCCGCCTGGTTGACTATCTTTCTTCATCATTGTGGTTTTGTTCTCCGCGAGTTGTATATCGCAACGAGTTTTCCAAGGAACTGCATTATTCGCCACTTTTCCAAGTCGGAATCATGACTTTGCAAGCAATCAAATATAGTGATGGCAATCTGTCCATCATCGATCAGCTCCAGCTGCCATATGTGGAACGCTTTATAACAATACAAACTACTGAGGAAGCCTGGCATGCGATAAAAGACATGCGAGTAAGAGGCGCTCCTGCTATTGCTATTGTAGCAGCCCTCGCTCTTGCATCCGAGCTCCACAAACTCATAGCGCGCAATGAGATCTCCCAAAGTGCCCATGAGGTCCAAAGTTTCATCATGGAAAAGCTCGATTATCTTGTCAGTAGCAGACCTACCGCAGTGAACCTCGGTGATGCTGCTACGAAACTTAGGGCCGTTATTAGTGATTATACACAACGGCCCGGATCGACCGGGCGCACTGTTGCTACTGCTTTGATACAGGCAGCAGAGGGAATGCTAGTGAAGGATGTCAAGGACAATAAGGACATTGGGAAGTATGGTGCTCAATGGATTCTGTCAAATGCCGTGGGAGATTCAAAGGCTACCGTTCTCACGCATTGCAATACGGGGTAAGAACAATGAAGCCAACTACAAATGATATGCTTTTGACCAACTGTCAGTTCTCTTGCGACATCGGGCTACGGGACAGCTCTCGGCGTTATTCGCGCACTTGCATCAACGGGCGACCTGCACCACGCATACTGCACCGAAACACGACCCTATAATCAGGGATCTCGACTGACGGCCTTCGAACTAGTCCACGACCGTCTCCCTGCCACACTTATAACAGACTCAATGGCAGCTGCTCTACTTGCCAGACCTGGTGCCCGAGTACATGCCATCGTAGTAGGTGCGGATAGGGTGGCTGCTAACGGAGATACTGCAAACAAAATAGGTACTTATGGTCTTGCCGTTCTTGCAAAGTATCACGGGGTGAAATTTCTCGTCGCCGCGCCCCTTACTACAATCGATTTGGCCACTCCATCCGGGAACGAAATCATAATTGAGCAGCGCCCGGCCTCTGAAGTTACCAAGGTCAAAGGCCCGCGTGATAATCAGGCCGGCAACGAAATCGAAATGGAAACGGTGCGCATAGCTGCTAATGGAATCAATGTTTGGAATCCGGCATTTGATGTGACACCATCTGTGCTTATTGATGGTATCATTACAGAGAAGGGAGTGGTGGAAAAGGATACAGACGGACGTTTTCATTTGGAACACTTGTTCTGCGACACTGCGTCACTGACTTCGGGCACCCCCGCCTCCTCTGCTTGATTGTATTTGTTTGGTTGCTTCTCAAACGCATTTAGTAACTCGTCTATTTTATCTTCCAAGGCTTTCAGGTGGTTTTCCAGCGCTAGCGCTGTCCTTTCGCCGCTATATTCCAAAAATCAGGCATGAATTATTGTGGGTGACGACTTGTCTCGTGAGCTTACCTCGCGATATCCTTGAAAGCCTGTGTTTCGCAGTTAGCATCTATGCAGCGTGACCCAATATAGTACATCTCGCGCTTTTGAACCCATGTATTACTGGCGGAGTAATGGGTGCCCACCGGAGATAAAACTTACTTGTGCGATACTCGCATCGTTCTGCTGGTTACTTGGTGGCATGGCTGGTGTATCTGGCTAAGAAAGGCTAGGATTTGTGGGTAAAACTACTGGCCTGTCCCAGGGATGTCAATGATATGGTTTCTGCCAATACAGTTAGTTCCGCGGTCTGGTCCTGGGATCCGCGCTAGCAGATCCTACAGATGATTTTATTTTTCATACCTCCCAATTTGACCCCCTATCTTCAGATACCGCTACTATCATGAATCCTAAGTCCCTGAAGCTGTTGGACAGTAACATGAAGTAAAATCGTTCGTGAACTGAAGGCTACTGATGAAACTTGTAGTTTGTACTAGGTCCTTACTGTTATCAAACCCCCGGTACAGCGTCTGACGGCAGCCCAGTCCAGTATTACATGATGCTTATATCATTATGTTTGCTCTATTTATTTCATTGTTATTGAAATGAATTTTCATTGATAAATACTTATAATAATTAGTGATGGAGCGGTGCGGTGCAGTTTCTGATTAGTCTAAATCACACTGCATGTTATGACGGGCTAAGAAGCCCCTGGACTACTCAAGATAATAGGTCAGTAAATAAAAGATAAATTTACTAGAAAGAGAATAATCTATCTACAGATAAATCAGTCTTTCTTATAGTTAATCTCTCTTAGGGAGTTTCTATACAGTATTAAGAAATTTTTATATTTTTTAAATAATTTTTATAGTTTAAAAGAGCTTCTTTATCACAGTGCGACTAGGGCATGATCTTGCTAAGTACATCACACATGATTCTATACATAGTTAAAAACCCTTTTATCTCTGTAGCTGTAATAGGATCTACTTGTCAGGGTAGAAGGCCTGTTGACTGTAAAGAACCTTTTTAGGGGGAAAAGTCAGAACAAGACCATAAGGCTATTATTATCTGCATATACGTCTGTGGACTAAAAAGGGTTATACCCTATCAACCATCTAAAACTAGAACATCTTATATTCCAGCCTATCAGATTCTATAACTCTTAATCAATAATATCTGTAGAAGTACAGAAATCATTTAATAAAAAAAGAATTTAAGGAGCTTTTTTAAGCTATAAAGAATAGAAAAAAATAAGAAATTTTTAATACTGTATGTGACGGCAGCTCCGGCCGGTATCACGTGACGCTTACGTCATCTTGTTTGTTCTGTTTGCTTTGCCGTCGCCAGTGTTGTTTTTCTTTAGCGGACGCCCACAACACTTTCTGTTTTCCTTTTTTCCTCTTCACGCTTAAAGTTCTAGAGTAGTTGTGACTGCTTCGACGGCTCCCCTTTATGTATGTAGCGTTCCCTGTGGCGATCATGTTGATTATCTGATAGACCGCCCCGCCTTCCTGCTGGAAGTTGTCCCCGCGGTCTTTCTGCATATATATTGTGACCGCTTCGTCGGGTCCTTTCTTCATGTATATAGAGGTGCCGGTTCCCTGCAGTAATCTGTTAATTACCTAATATTATATTCCTATCTTCTTATTAGAGATCATCCCCGCGTTTCTTCTATATATATATATTAATCTTCGGTATATAGTTATATTGATAAATCCGTCTTTTTAATAATTATTATACTACTATATATTTATTATCTTTCTTATTTTACTACTATAAAGATAGTAATATATTTATAAACTGATTCTAAATATCTGTTGTTATTTATTTGATAATACATTATTTTATTTATTTATTTTTTTATTTCTTTATCTATTTTCTTATTATTCTATTGTTTTATTAATTTCGGGTTTCTGAAAGTCTCATTAATTAAATATTATTATTAAATATATTCTTTTTATATTAATTATTATTATTTTCTCTATTTTCTCTGTTTTTTTTATTATGAGAAAATGTTATATCTTATTCTATACTCTAAGTCCTGTTAAATTTATTATGTTAAAAATATTAAATATTATTAAAGGATAATCTCTGAATTACTGAGCTTACTTAATAAATTACTTTATTTTATATTCTTTCAAATTCTTTTTATATTTTAAAATTCAATTCAGATATTTTATATCATATAAATTATATTTTTATTAAATTATATATTTAAGATCCTGTCTTTATAAACTACTATCTCTATTTTTTTAACTGGAATATTAATAAGAACATTCTTAATAAAGCTGTTAAAGAACTTCTGTATCTAATTCACTCTATCCCTTACTTTATTAAATATTTATAATAAACTTTTGTATATCCTATTAATATACTTTTTAATTTTTCTTATTTAATTATTTAAGATCTATTTTTTTATTAAGATTATAAAGCTCCAGCTTATCTGTTAATCTTATTATTACTATCTTTAGATTTTTTTTCTTATATTAATATCTTTTATATTTCTTTATATGTTTTTTAAAAAGTAAACTCTAACTTTAATTTTCAGTACTTTTTAATTATCTTAAATCAAAATTTTCTCTGGAATTACTATTTCTGAAGAAACTATATTATTTATACTAATTAATATTCATTCAGTAAAGATTTTTAAAATTTTAAATTTTTTATAACTGTATTATCTTATTTTTTCTTTTAAAGACTTTCTATATTCTAGATTTATATCAAGTTAAGTACTCTACATAAAATCATTAAATATTATATTTATTAATTTTATTATTATTACTAATTATTAATCTGATAAACTATCTATATATAACATACTGAATGTTATTAGAAGTATTAAGTAACAGTTAAATATTTTTAAAAACTGATTAATAACATTATTTATAAATATATAAGATTTAAATAATAATACTATTATTTATTTTTTATAAATTTTAAATACTTTAATCAGTAATAACGGACACTTTAATACTACTACTAATAATAATAATATTTCAGATTATTAAAAGACTAATAAAGTTGATTACTTTTAGCCAGATATAAAAGATGATATTGTTATAAAATAAATTAGTAATTTAATTTATTATAAAAATATAAATATATTTCTTAACTGTATACATGATATTACTTTATATAAAAGTAAAGTTTTAATTAAAGTTAATATTATTATTAATTTTTATAGTACTGTTATATTATGATACAGTTTTAAACTTTCTAATTTAAAAAGATACTTGATTAGAAAGTCTGCTTCTTTAAAAAATAATATATTTTATAAATTTATTAAATATTTTAAAGTAAATCCTATTATTATTATAAATAAATTTATTATTATTAAGTATATGTTTACTAATATATAAACTTAATATTTTATCTAAAAATTTCCTTAAAATATTATTTATCTAATTTATACTATTAATGTAATTATTCTTTTTAATAGATACTGTTTATATAAAATCATCTTAATATATATCTTTAATAATATATTTTATAATATATTAGAAAAGATAAACTTAGTGCTTTTTTATATTTACTTGTTTAGAAGTTATTTATATAGTAAAACTTAGCCGAAACTAATATTACTTATTATACTTAATATAATACTAATTTGAATCATAAACAGTACTTTAGTAGTAATAACTATTATAATAGTAATTAGTAATATTCTCTTTACTAAGATTTTGACTGCTTTTAAAAAATAATCAATACAATTAGAATATTAATTCAAAATCTTAATAAATACAAATAAAACTTTAATATTAATAAGCTGTAATACTAAAATTAAAGCTAAAATTATTAACCAGTACAGAATCTATAAAACTAATCAAATTAATCTTAATATAATTAACAGCATTTCTTTAATACTACTGCTACTTAACCTAATCCTGTAAACTTTATTTACAATAACTCTAATAATCAGTAGCTAAGTGTTAGACACCTCAGGCAATCCCGCAACAGACAGCACGCCCTTCCAGCATGCCAGAGTCACAGGACTTGTAATAAGACAGGCTATCTGATTAAGCAATCTATATAGTTAGATAACTTAATAGAATATTTATTATATTAATTATCAGGAACTGTGGAAGGCCAGTAATTAATCCTATATCTAGATATATATATATTATTTATGTTTTATAAACTTATAATATGATATTTAACTTAATCTTTAAAATTAATCTTATATTTTTAATAATTCTGATTACTCTCTTTATAAGAGAGATCTGAAAATGAAGATAATATCTTGCATTTAAAATATAATCTTAGAAGGCTTATCGAATTTATTAAGTAATCTAATTACTAAGTCTGTATATTTTAAAGAATCAAACCTACAGTATAATAAGGACTTTATAAAAATAGCTAGATTAATTAATTACTCTGGAAATCATAAAAATAATAATATAACTATTTTAAAGAAGAAACTATATAAGAAAAAAGTAGAGATTAAAAAAGTATAATTACAGAAATAACTAGTAAAGCTAGATAAAATACTAGCTGAAAAGAGATATAAAATAAACTAAAACATATTAATTACAAGGTTTAGAAGTAATTGTTTTAATTCTTTATTTAATTAATGAAAAGAACTGTTTCTCTATATTATAATCTTCTATCTTAAAGATTGTAAAACTACTTGTAAGAATAATACTGGATATAAAATACTATAAAAATAGTATAATTAAATACTACTACTATATAATAAAGTTAAGAAATTATTTTAAAGTAAACAATTTTTACTTTATAAATAATAAGATAAAAGTAATAGATATTATATTTTATCTTAAAACTGCACTCTTCTTACTATAGAAATAATATATTAAGAAAATATTTTTATAATATAAAAAGTTTATTTAGAAAGATTATTAAATCTTCTAATTACAATAATTAATCAATCCTGTAAATCTCTAAAGAAATATTAATTAATATTATTAAAATATTAGATAGAATCCACAGTAATCAGTATAAGAATTTATAAAATATATTTACTAGTAATATTTATAGCTATCAGAATTATTTATAGAGAATTAATAAAAGAATTTTTTATAAGCTAGAATATTAGAAGAGATTTATTATAAAGTAATAAAGTATCTATAAAAACTAGAAACTTATAATAGTAATATCTTATATTTAGAAATTATAGAGAATAAAATATTAAAATAATATAAGAAAATTATTATTAAGAAAAAACAGTACTTATAAAAAAATAATCCCTGTTTCTTTATATTACGGGGATAGAATTAAATAAATCAAAGATTCTTCAAAATTAAGTAATAAAGTAAGT